TATGCAGATGCACATGCCTGTATATGTATAGTTTCAGGGGCCAGAGGCCACTGGGTGTCCTGCATGCGCTCTTGCTCTCTCTTGCGCTCTCTCTTGCGCGCTCTCTCTCTCTCTCTCTCTCTCTCTCTCTCTCTCTCACCCTTTGAGACAGGGTCTCTCACTGAACCTGAGCTGGCAGCAGGCAAGACTCAGCAATCCTCCTGACTCTGTCCTGCCCCCAGCACTGGGGTTACAGACACATGTCGTCATGTCTGGCTTTTGACATGGTGCGGGAGAGCTGCTCTTCATGCCTGGAGCACGCTAACCTACTAAGCCATCTCTCCAGCTCCCAAACTCTTACGTTTTTCAAAAGGCAAACACTGTTTCCTAAGTCCGAGAACAGCAGGACCAAAGTTGTGAAGTGACTTAAAACAGTGACTTCACAGACTACAGATGAGGGAGGCGGTGGAGTGCTGGCCTAGTAAGCCTTATTTTTAGGCACACTTATTTTAAGGACAGACTTAACTATTTCCCATTTCCCTCCCTAAATAGTACTGAAATGAGCAGACTTCAGTTAGGTAGAAAAGGAAACGAAGAAGGCTGCCAACACTGGAATGTTAACTTAGAAGCGACAGATGTCCCTCCTCGAGTGAGAGCTAACCGTAAGGTAAACAGTCAGCTGCAGAGAAGGAAACGGGAAAGGAAAATTACTGCCTCGGAGTCCTTTAAAAACCTACTATACTACACTATACTACACTGCTGAACTAGCTCATCCCAGTGCCAGTCACCTCAACCCCCTTCCTGAGACCCTGAGTAAGCCACGCCCAGCCAGGAGGAGACAGAAAACACCACTGTGTCTTATCAGGCTTTTAAAAGTTTGACGGCAGCCTTCTAAACTGATTTAAAACATACGAACCAATTTCCAAAGAGCAAATGCACAGATAAAAAAGGAATAACAGTCAAAAGAGTACAGAGAATCAAGCTAAAGAGCATCTTCCTCTGAGTCATACAGCTTACATCAACTTCAAGTCTGTCCTTGACTTCCAAAAAGGAACTGCTGCTGGATGCTGGTCTGTTCACTTGTGATGTACTAGTGTGAGTGTGCACACACTGCTGCTGGATGCTGGTCTGTCCACCTGTGATGTACTAGTGAGTGTGCACACACACTGCTGCTGGATGCTGGTCTGTTCGCTTGTGATGTACTAGTGTGAGTGTGCACACACAATGCTGCTGGATGCTGGTCTGTTCACTTGTGATGTACTAGTGTGAGTGTGCACACACAATGC